CTGTCAAATTTCTTATATCACCGTCTCGAGGTCTGCTTCAAACTATAGAGGTTTTTCTTCAATCTACAGGTCGAATCTTATTTCCCTGAAACCTCGTAGCCCTGTGGTTGCATCATATATAATTCCTCCTCCAGCTGTCCATGCAAGAAAGCTATTTTTACATTCATCTACTCCAGATGTAAATGTTCTTCTGCAACTAAACTCAACACAACTCTAACGGTTGTCATCTTCATTACCGAAGAAAAAATCTATGTAGTTTACTTCCTTCAGTTGGAATCCTTTCACAACAAGTATTATTTTGTAGTGTTTGCTACCATTTAACTCCTCTTTCAGTCTATAGACCCACTTATTGTGTACTCTTCTTTTCTCCTGCAGTAATACTGTCAAATCTCAGGTCTAATTTGACTCCCAAGGACTGCATTTCATCATTCATGGCAAACTTTCACTCATTTGATTTTTAACTTGAATAACCTCCTAATAGCACTTTAGTTCACTACTATATGTTAGCAACAAATAGTACAAAGAAAACGAATATCTTTGTGTCGGTGGTGTAGCTCTAATGATCTAACTTCAGTAGCAGGTGGCTGAGGAACTGCTTGTGCTTCATCTGATTGAGCACTTCTTATTTCTTCTCACTTCTGATCACCAATATCTTGTATCTCAAAATACTTAGACTCTTCAGAAATAACCGACAGACAATCCTGTTCTGATCCTATCCGTATATATCTTCATTTCATAAAAAGTAGCATCACTGCTCCTGATGAACTTCTGATTATGATAATCTCAGAATTTGTACCTTTATTTATCGAAGTCATATCCATGAAAGTGTATTAGAAAGATTTCGAGTCAAGCTTACCTATTGACCATGCATCAACATATACGTATACAACCCAAGTACTTTCAAGTGAGATAAATTTACCTCTTTGTCACTCCAAGCTTCTTCAAGCAAGCCTTCTTTCGAAGGTACAAATGGATCACTACTGATCAGATAAACTACAATGTTCATTGCTTTTGTCTAGAGTTGTCTTGGTAAGTCTGCGTGCAATCTCATACTTCTGCACATTCCGTGATGGTTCTAGCATGCGCTCAGTTACTTCATTCTATTGTGGAGTTCTTGGAACAATGAACACAAGTCTGATTCCCTCTAAAACATAGTATTTTCTGAGTTTTTATCACAATACTCACCCTCATTATTTGATATGAGACACTTCTGCTTCAAGTCTGTCTCATTTCCTATCATAGACTTCCACCTCTTAAACACTTTTAAGTAGGTCAGATTTTTGCTTTAAGAAATAAACTAATACTTTTTTGGTATGATAAACAATAAATATAACAAAATAGTGGGAACATACAATTGAATGGACTGGAGTATGACCCTATACATCAACATGCACTCAATTTAATTTATTTGACTTCACTATTGACCTGCCTTTAGCGAAAAAATCTTTCCGTTTTTCATATGTACAATCTTCACAGAAATCCAAATCTTCATATTTCAAAAACTGAAGTTTATTCTTTGAAAGTAAGAACTTCAAATATTTCTTGATCATATGGCCAAAATTGTGGTGTCATGGACCTGCATCTACTTTGGTTCTAGCCATATAAATGAAATTTGTCATTTCATTGATCAGGTAAAGAATGCCTTTAATATTTTCCTGATGCATCACCATTGTCCTTTGGTCACCTTCCACAATGATCAATAAAAGTAATCACGAATCCTGACATTTTCATTTGACTCATTAAAATAATTTTTTTCTTCATATTTGAAATATGTCTAACTTCAATAAGCTTCCAGCCTATTCCATTTTGCAACTTGATATCCGCATTACCCTTTTCAACAATAGGTCTTGTTGTCTCTCAACAAAACTTTTCATAGATCACTCTGAGAGTATTTTTTATACACCTCTTTGTTCCGACATGCATGAAAAGAGACGTCAAAATTTACTATCCAAGATTCAGTCTAACTAGGGATAACACCAGGGAGTCACCTTGAATTTCTCTAGTGAAGACATTTATAAAAAGATTCCCTTCTTGCCCTCCACAACTAGCCTTCCTTTGGGCTTTACAATCGATCATGAAATATCATTTCTTTTCACAATTCCAGCATTCTCCTCGGCCATTTTCTCTGCATGACCTGTACTTTTCTCCTTTGGACTTAAATATGTCTCCTGCCTGCATTCTTGTCCAGATTCCTACCCCTGAACCTGAGAATTCACCATTCATTGCCTTCCCTACAAACTTCTTCATTCAACACTAATCCCACGATGTCATCGAAGTTCAACTCCATATTCCCAAAAGAGATACTAGTCGTCGTGATCAAACCATCTCAGCTATCTGACATTCTCCTCAGCTCTGACCTCATCATCAAATTTGATTCCAACAAAACACAACTGACTTATTACAATATTGAAATTGTTCAAGTTTTTAGTCATTGAACTCCCTTCCGCCATCTTCATATTGAATAACCTCTTCATCAAAAAAGTTTTATTTGAAGTAGAAGGTTTTTCATACATCTTTGTCCGTGTCGTCATGAGAGTCATCGTAATTCTCAACTATATTGAATGCAATAGACGAGGAAAGTGACGAACAGATCAGATATAGGGTCATTTGATCCAACACTTCTCATTCCTCCATAGTTATCGATTCAGGCTTCTTTGTAATTTATTGTAGTAACATACAATTTTTTCTGCTCCATCAAATCCTCCAACTTGCATCCTTTAGAACGTGAAGTTCAATCCATTGAGTTTCTCCACTTTATACTACATTTCGTCAGTTTTTGCTCCCACTCAAATCAAACACCTCGCTCTGATACCACTTGTTGGGATTGAATGAACACTTAGGGGTTTAATTGGTTAACAATCAAAACCACATTGCAAACAGGATCCCACCAAATCGAGAAATCAAAAATAAATAAATCGAACAGATGCACACCAAAGTAATCTAAAAAAAACACACCAAAATTTACGTGAAAAAACCGAAAATAGAAAAAAACCACAGAGTCGCACCATAAAAAAATTAACTATGGATAGGAGAAACTTACAGAGTATACCACTCAAATCTTCTCTCTAAAATCACACGAACTTACAAAACTTCACTCCAAACATTTCTTTCAATATTACGAGAGAAAGCCTTTGTTGAAATCCTCCTCGACTACTTTCCACTTCACGAAAAGCCGAGAAAATAGTAGAGAACCATCCCAACGATGTAACCACGTGTAATTATCTAGTGTGCTCTGTCCCGCACTGCACTTCACGAAAAGCCGACAAAATAGTAGAGAACCATCCCAACGACGTAACCACGTGTAATTATCTAGTGTGCTCTGTCCCGCAAACCTAAAACCCGCAATTCACGGGTGCAGATGTACCTAGTTGAGGCGTAGTCACACTGTCCGGCGTAGCTACGCCATGCTGAAGGCTCTCTTGAATGCTTCTTGCAACTGTCAGCTCCTGGGTGCTTCAGGCTCTATTTTAAAACAAGGCACAGATTAATGATGCAACAAAAATTCTACGGCACATTATTACTCCCGCACATCCTGAGAAGTAACTTTGGCCTACTCATGTTATTATGTTCGAATTGAGCACTTTACATGTATGATCAAAGAAGAAATTTCTCCTTTTTATCAAACCTATGAGGATCAAATCATAATCTTCTAATTATAAGAAGAACAAGAGAGACCTCTCAATCAATTCCTTTGCCCTCATTCTTCAAGCCCAAAGATTTTTTTCGTATTTGAATTTGAATTTGTTCATCTAGAATCTAGGCTCTTCCTGTCGTTAATATTTAATATTATTTTTAGATTTACTTCTTTTTATATTGTTTTAACCCTACTCCAATATCAAAACCTTGGAACCACCAATGAATAGAAAGAGCAGATACAGAAAGCATTGCTAGATGCTGCATGTTGAAATGAAAATCTGTGTCAGCTCTCAGAGGAGCTGACGTTCAGTCACTTCACGTCGCTAGAAATAGCAAACTCTGATCATGAAGAAACCAGAAGGTATCTTCCTATAAGAAAGCTGTCAAGTGTCGTGTTTATAGTACCACCGCATTTAGGCCATGGACAAAGCATTTCACTTATGCTTAAACAAAGCAAGAAAAAAATAGTGCTCCATGAAAAGTAGATCAGCATATACAATCTATATCATCACTTAAACCACTGATTCTTTCAGTTTAAAATATTAAGAAAAACTCAGGTTAAAAAACTCACTGTCTTGTGGCAACTCAGAATCTGTGGCATTCCAAACATTTCAACATTTTTAGTAGAAAGCACCAAAATGTTGGATCAAAACATGCATCGCAAGTTTATTAATAGGCCATTGTATTGTGTACTTTTGCATTTTTTTTTTTTTGATTTGAAATAAAATACATTCGGTATCTTCTAACATGTTCTGTTTTTTTTAATACTAAAAGTATCTAAAATTAATTGAAGTGATTTTAAAAATAAGTAGCTTTATTCTTAAAAACAATAAATAAAAGCTTGTGAATAATTCAGTAAACAAAAAGTAAAACAAAAACAACAAAAAAAATATATATGATACCGAACAGCCCATTAGTATGAAAGCTCATCCTATTTTACTACCACCTTACATGAACCATGAGTTGTTTCCACGGTACAATCAAATATTCAGGTATATTTTCTACCGTTTTACTCCGTTGATTTTCATACACCAGAAGGTCATGATGTTATCTTTACAACACGGTCATTTGTCTATAAAAATAAGCATAATCATTATCACATAGTCTGATCCTAGCTATGCACAAAAAATTAACACCACCAGACTAAATAAAAATGGTTAAAGCAGTAAATGAGAGACTAGCCAACGCGGTGCCCGTGAATAAGAAGAATTAGAGAGGGATATATGTATGCATTCTGATCGATGCATTGCATAAATAATATTTGAATGAATGGAATTCAAGATAGACAATAGATTTGACTTAACCATTGCACTAGTTCCATCCTCAGATGCACTTCATATTTATCATGTAAAAAATATACGTACCAGCAGACCATAAATATCACAATAATGATAGAATTCTGGCCTCTCAGCCAATCCACCTCCCCAACAACGAAGCATATTGAAGTTCATATCTGCATGAAATTTTATGTCTGTCATGTAACGTTTAGCTGAAAGTCGCAAAAGCCCATCAGACAATATCCAATTTCCCCCTCGGATGAAAACTCGTTGGCCATTTACCCTGAATAATCTGCAAAACTGAGATATGCAGCTCAGATATCTATTACTGTTGGTAAATACATTGCCCATTCGTATATCTCTTAAAAGTAAGGAATGGATTCACGGAAGGATTAAAATGATGACAGGAAGACACATACCTTCCACCAGTAGCCTGATCTATTGTGCTCTCAATCTTCCGAAATCCAAACTGATGAGACCATGAATCAGACTCACCAAATCCTTTCACATCAACACTTATTTCAATGTTGTATAGTGACTGCTTACCCATGCCATTGGGCCACCACAAATTTGGCTTGTAAAAGAATAACTGAAAAGTTGTTATTAACCACTTGGATTAGAGTGAAGTTTCATGATTTTTATTATAGAAAAAAAAATGTCCTTATCAATGGAAAAGAGTAGCACATATGCCGCTAATCACGTAACATGTAAATGACATTTAGAATATTCATTTGGTATAATTTGAATAATTTCAAAAAAAAAAATACAAGAGAATAAGGGAGGTAATCAGAACAATTATCAGCCTGCAAAACATTTAACAGTTAAATATTCCACATATAAAGAGATGTTAAACTGAGGTTTCATTTGGCTTGGCCTTTTTATTGCTCAAATGCCTTGATAAATACGGTAAGTATTTTTTAGAAAATCACTATTTTTCATGTGTAGTTTCTGTGAAATTTCATGAGCGCATGGAGCATGTAATATTTCCTTGTGATGTTACAATGAATTTATTTCATATCACAATAAAACACAACATCAACAGAATCTATATGCCTAAATGTTGAAAAACCCCTGCGACTCTTGCTCCCAGATGAGCTTCTGTAGGCTCTTCCTATAATGCAAGAAAAATGGAAACAGAGAAGCAGGAAACAGCTAGGAAGAATGGAACCTCAACCAACATACTATTAATCAAGAACCTAGTTAATTAAACATACTATTAATCATTTATGTAGGGTCCATAAACCTGACATTTTTGTTCTTTTGGAGCCACTTGTTACGGTTCATAAAGAGGACCTCATTAAGAATTTCAAGGGTTACATGCATTACAGTAATCTGAACAATAAAATTTGGTTCTTTTAGCAGAGAGACATCACTCTTACCATTATTGATGATAATGTGCAATACGTTCTAATTCATTATCGGTTGGAGAGTTTTTTTGGTTGGACAACTTTCATTTATGCCAGTTCTCTTTTAAGGGACAAGCTTCTTCTTTGACAACAACTTACTCATACGGGTGCTACTATTACTGAGAATTGGTTCGTTGGTGGGGATTTAAATATGATTATGTCGTCTTCAGAGAAAATGGGTGGTGCTAATGGTTGATACGAGCCTTATCAACCATTTTTGTGATCATATTGAGGATACTGGCCTTTATGATTTAGGCTTTTCGGGTTCTCCTTACATTTGGCGGCGGGGTTTTCTTATGCAGAGATTGGATAGATTTCTGGAAAACTCTTCTTTTTTGGATTACTACAACATTATTCATGTCAAACATCTTAATCATGCTGCTTCGAACCATAATCCCATTTTGCTTAGCTTGGCTTTTTATTCTAAACCTGCTCGTTATCATTTTAATTTTCTTAAATGTTTGGGTTTCGCATCTTACTTTTATTGACTTGATAAAACAAGCTTGACTCTCGAGATTAAGTGGTAACCCTTGGTTCATTTTGTGGCAATTACATAAGAATGGTTCTTCTCACTTAAAGAGGTGGAACATAGATACTTTTGGCAATGTTCATTTAGGGTTTCGAAGGTTCGGTTTCGAAGGCCCAACAGGAGGTCGATACTTTAGAAGCTCAGGTAATAGACACTCCTGATCTTGTGGCCAAGTTAGCTAATGCTCATCATACTCTTTTAGAGAAAATTACTATTGAGGAAGATTTCCTTAGACAGAAAGCTTATGACAATCATTTAAAAAACGGTGACAGAAACACCAAATATTTTCATGCTACTATCAAACATCGTCGTAACATAAATACCATTATTAAGATTGTTACTGATGGGGCTCTGTACTCACTGATGCTGATCAAATTGGTTCCAATGCAGCTGATTATTTTTCTTCTCTGTATGCTGATACTCTACCTGTCACTGATATTCTTTCGGATTTGTTTGAGGGACCGAGGGACTTGGTTTCCTCCCTCTCTCTGTCCGACCAACCTACTGAGTTGGAGATTTTCACTGCCCTTAAAGATATTAGTTCTCAGAAAGCTCGTGGCCCTGATGGATTCACTTCTGCTTTTTATATTTCCTGCTGGAACATCATAAAGAAAGAGGTTCATAAAGAAAGAGGTAGTTCTTGCAATTCAAAGTTTTTTCAGGGTGAAGATCCTGGAAAGTATTTCTCTGCCGCTTTGATTGTTCGTATCCCTAAATCTAATGATAAATCTCATGAGTATTTCTCTGCCGCTTTAATTGTTCGTATCCCTAAATCTAATGATAAATCTCATTGGAAGGACTTTCAGCCCATCTCACTCACTTCCGTGATTTCTAAAATTATCAGTAAACTGATTGTGGCTCGTCTTCAACCTCACCTTCCTTCACTCATCTCCCCTCACCAGTCGACCTTCATTAAAGGACATGATATTTCTGACAATATTCTCTTGGCTCAAGAAATTTTGTAGGATCTTGATAAAAAAATGCAGAAGTGATAATCTTGTTATCAAATTAGATATCAAAAAAGCCTTTGATACCATAAATTGAAATTTCATAATCAACGTTTTGAAAGCTAGAGGTTTCAATATCAGTTTTTGCACCTTGATTGAAAGATGGTTGGCTAACAGCTATTATTCCGTGCTGGTTAATGGAAATTCTTATGGCTTCTTCACTGCTCGTCGTGGCATTAAACAGGGGGGACCCTCTTTCCCGTATTTTTTTTATTTTAGCTTTCGATTATTTATCCATGATTCTCAATCATTTTCAACTAGTACACCCTCACACACAGTTTTCTCACAAGGCCAAAATGATGGTTTCACACCTTGCTTATGCTGATGACGTGATTATTTTTGCTAATGCATCTAAACTTGCTATAAAACAAGTGATGAGACTCTTAATGGATTTCCAGAATTGTTCTGGACTCCTATTTAATTTTGACAAGTGCTAGATGTTTTTTGGCAAGCATGTTAAGCAACATCTTATTCATTAGGGAGTTGCATATACTGGCTTTCATCATGCCTCTCTCCCTCTCAAATATCTTAGGGTTAATTTGATTAGGGGAAGGAGGAAACAAATTTATATGGATGATGTTATTGATAAAATCAAGCGCAAAATTAATGATTGAAGAAATGTATTTCTATCTACTAAAGGAAAGATTTTTTTGCTCTCTAGTGTTCTTCAGAGTATTCCACTATATGTTTTGCGGGTGTTTAACCCAAAAAAAAAGTGCTATCAATATTATGGAGAGGCTTTTTAATAAATTCTTTTGAGTGGGGAATGATGCAAAGAAAATTTAGGGTTCTTGGCATAAGGTTTGTAAGCCTAAGAAGGCTGGCGAGTTTGGTTTTAAAGCTTTAAAACATACTGTGGAAATAAACCTTTGCAAACTTTGGTTTAAATTCAGATTGGACTCATCTATATGGGCTTCCTTTATGCATCAGAAATATTGTGCTCAAAATCATCCTTCCCAGGTTGAGTGGAAGGTTGGTGATTTTCGAATTTGGAAAGCTGTCGTAAATGCTAGAACTACTGCTAATGATTTCATGTTTTGGGACATAGGCGATGGTAATATTTCTTTCTGGAATGATAATGGGGGATTGTCGCATCTCTCTGAACACTTTCACCCTTTTCATACTAATTCCTTATTGGTTTATGATTTCTTTACTCAAGATAGCTGTGATTTTTTCAAATTGTGTTCTATTGTGGGGGAGCAAAATGCAAAGCATATTATCACTATTCCTATTACTCCTTCACGAAAGGATCTCCCCATGTGGAAAAGAAACAACTCTCAATCGGTTTGCAAGCTTATTTATAGCACTTTACACTTTCACCGTGATTGGCTCTGGGGAAAATGAATTTGGCATAAATTTTTATCTCTCTATATCCTTTTTCCTTTGGCACTATCTCACTTCTTTAATACCTATTGATGATATTCTTAAGTTGAAAGACCTAAAAATGGCCTCGAGATGTCATATGTGCAAGGTTGAGTAGAAAGATACGAGGTACATATTCTTTGAATGTGCTTACTCTTTAAATGTTTGGAAGATGCTTGGCTCACATTTCGGTATTTCATGGTTACATAGGGGCACTTTAAACAATCATTTGTGGCAATGGAAGGATTTTGATGTTATAAGAGGGGCGTTTCCTCTCCCTTTATTGGTCCTCTGGTTTTTATGGACCTCTAGAAACAGTTTTAAATACCATACTTCTCCCCCCACTACTTCTATGACTGTTGCTTATGTGCTCGCCTATTACAATAAGGTTCTAAGGGCTAGTTCTATTGATGTTCCCAATTTAAGCCCCCCCCCCCCCCCCCCACCCACCCCCCCTGCCCACGTTGGCATCCTGATTATGCTGCAGTTGGGGGCACATTTAGAGATTTTGAGGGTAGGTGTCTCTGTTATTTCACCTCTCCTGTTGTCGCTGACAGCCCATTGACCACGGAATGCTGGGAGGTTTTTCTGGCATTAATGGTGGCTACTTTTTTCAATTTTCATAAAATTGAGGTGGAAACTGATTCTAAATTGCTCTATGATACTCTTTTGGGTATCTCTCCTCCCCTCTGGGATATATTTTGCACTTTTAAACATATTTTAACTTTTATGGCTGAAAGACATCTTGAGGTAAATTGGAAATTCATTCATAGAGAGTGCAACTCCCCTACTAATTGGTTAGCCAAGCATGTAGGGGAGGTCTGTCACGTCGGTATTTACCTGTATTTTTGTTTAAGTACAATATAACCCTGCTCCTCTCAGACGCCTCCTCATTGGGGATAACTTGAATCTGCCTTATGTCCATATTTAAGCATTTCTCCTCTTGCGAGATTTTATTATGCTTGGCAGGTTTCCATGTTTTTGTTGCAGGCCTGGTTTCCATGTTTTTGCTGCAGACCTGGTTTCCGTCTCCCTGCTTTTTGTTGCTGATTCTTGTTTCTGTTTTGTTCTCACGGCTACCACTGGCTACTGCTGTTTTGGATCTCTCTGCTCTACGCTCCTGTTTTTCAAACGGTTTTTGTTTGCTCGTGGGAATGCTTCTGGAGAACTCTACTAACCTGAAGACACTTTTTGTACATCTTTTTTCTTTTTTACATTTCAAGTTACACTAGAACACATGTTTACTTATTTTTGGGTTTTTGTTCTTTGATTTTGGGTATATCTG